AGGGCGCGCAGATAGGCGAGGCGACAAAGACACCAACAGCAACAACGGCGGCGGCGGCAGAGGAGGAGGAGGAGGAGGAGGAGGAGGGGGAGCCACCGGACGTCTGTCAGAGTGGTGCATGATGATGTCTCATTCAGTGGCTCATGAGATACTTTACCTGAATATCGGTTTGTGCATCAGCAACATTGCAAATTTTGTTTTTGGGAGTCTCCCTGATGTGCAGCCGCTTTTCTTTGTCTGTGAGTATCTCTGTTGTAAGGAGAAATTGGGCGGATTATGGTGTTCGTGTTCATCTGTGGTGTATTTGACTTTTTTTTGTGCTTAGAATGTGTTTTGAAAGGAAGAAGAAGAAAAAAACGCATGGTTGGTTTCAATACATTTGTTAGGGAGTATGTTGGCAAATGTCTGCTTTTTTTTTTAATATCTCTGCTATAGCTTTTTCTCTTTCGTTTCCTTCTATGAGGAGTTGTGTGGTGACTGCCGCACCGACTCCGTGTCCGACAAATTTAGAAGACTCGTAAAGTTGTTGTTGGAGGTTTCGTAGAGCTGCGTCGAGGTGTCTCTGGAGCTGTCGAGCGGGTCAAAGTACCGGGGCCTTGACTGGCGTGGCTGCTCGCGGGGCGGCCGCTGGTTTTGTGGCGCCGTTACTTGGCGCGGTGGGCTGGTGTTGGCCGCCGTGAAGGCGTGTGAGAGGTTCTTCTCCGGCTGAGGCAGTTCTGCTACGGTTGACGCAAACGGAACATGCCGCCCCTTTTTGCCAAGCATCTCGCGCAATTCGTGGAGCACCCGGAGTGGCAGACGATTGCAGTTTTGTGTGACAGTTGGCATGACATGGCGGGAGGCCGACGGCAAACCGATGGACGTGTTTTGACGGGCGTCAGGCGTTGTCTTCGGCATGTTCTTTACCGCCTCGTGGGAGAGCTGCAGCTCGTGACGAAGGGCATTTATCTGCTCATGCCCCCGTGCCGTCTCCAGACGTTTTCCCTCCAGCTGTTCGTGAAGCAGCCGCAGGTACTGCCTTGTCTGACGCAGCCGCATTTCATCCTCCCGTAGCGCCTCGTTGTCCTTCATGAGGTCCTGCCGCTCCTGCCGCAATCGCCGCCACTGTCCCTCTACTTGCTCCGTCTTCTGACGCATCTCTTCCTGAAGATTTACCATCGCGGCGTGCCGACTCTTCAGTTCCTCCTCCCGCAGACGTAGTTGGCGTACTTCTGCCTCCGTTTTGTCGCTGGCGTTGCGGAACCATGACGTCATAGCGGCCTGCTCCGCCTGGGCGTCACGCTCCTCTTCAGCTAGTTGGACCGTGGCCTCTCGCAGCTCCGCGAGCACGCGGCCAAAGCGTTCCTGCACGTTGCATTTCTCATCCTCCACCATTTGTTTCCATCGCCTGTACTCCTGCTCCCACTCGGTCTTGCCGTGTGCATACCTTGCCTCCTGTTTTCCCACCCAAAGACGCTCCTCCTCAAGGTGTTGCTCCATTGTGCGGCGCACAGCCTCCAACTTGCTTAGCGTCGCAACAAGCGAGTTGTGCTCGTCGCCAACGGAGACACTTTGCTTTGTGACAACATCCTGAAGCATTGTGAGGGTCTCTTCTCGGGCCTCTAACGCCCGCCGACGATCCCCATCTAGTGCTGCGCGCCCATCCTCAATCGTGGCTCGATATTCCTGCATTCGTTTCAAAAGCGCCTCAACGGCGTGCACAACGCGGTTAAATTCTTCTGTGGCACGCGCAACATCGGCTTGCATGGCCGCATTAACACGACTCCGTTGTTCGGCGAGGTGTTCCTCCTTGGTGTGCTGCTCCCGCAGAAGCGCCATGTGCTTCTCGTGAATCCATCGCTGCTTTTCTAGCATGTCGTGGTGGTTCTCCTCCACAGCCTTCATACGCTCCAAGTGCACTTGATGACGAAGCGCTCGCTGCTCCTCGTGTTCGGCGGCGCGGCGATTCATGGCTGCCTCCAATTCGCGTTTTAGCATCTCTTGGTGCTGCGACGCCCACGCCTCGCGCGACTCCACGTACATCTCCTCCATGCTTAGCTCTTCACGCTGCAGCCGATCAAGGTCGTCGTGCACCATTGACTGCGTGTCTAACAGCAACTGCTCATCCATTTTGAGTACCTGTTCCCGTGCCTCCTCTTCTGCCTTGCGCCAAAAGTCAAGAGACTCCTGAAACAGCTTCTGGCAGTCTTCGCGCTCCCGTTGCGCCTCACTGCCGGTCGTAACGGCAAACGAGGAACGCACTTCGTGGCGCACGAGGCGTTGCACGTCGTCCTCCCAGGCTTCCATCGTTGAGGCGTCGGCTGCGAACATGTCCTCCACGCGCTGTAACAAAGTGAGGAGCGCACTACCAACGCACTTGTGCACAAGGTCCTTCACAGTGTCCCCTACGCCTAACTCCTCCTGCAGTTTGGCTTCCTGCTGCTGTAGCCCTTCCAACTCGGCACGCATAGCCGTGATCTGCGGCTCGTATTGCTCACGAATGGCGGCCGCAACCCTATCACGTTCCTCATTTAGGTGCTGCTGCTGCGCGTCCTGTGCCTCGAGAACTTCCCGCTCCGCTGACGCCTTTACATTTTCCATGGCGTCCTGCTGTTGACGAAGCTTGGCATCCAGTTGTGCAATCTCCGCAAGTCGCTGCGCCTTCAGCGCACGCCACCTGTCTCTCAGAGACGTTTCCTTTTCCTTTGCCGCCACGAGCAACTTTGTCTTTGCGTCTAACTCACGGCGCAGGGATTCGAGCATCTCCTCCGTCACCCCCGTCTCCTGCTTTTCTGGCGCCGGCGGCTTCACCGCCAGCTGCTCCGGCGCCACGGCGGCTGGCTGTACCATCTGTTGACGAGAAATCGGGGCCAACGCCGCGGCGTCGCGTTGCCGCTGCATGGCTTGTCTACGCGCCGCCAGCATGGCGTCCTCCCCGTCCCTCCCACCCACATTTCTCTGCACGAGCAGGCTGGGGGGATTGCGCCACTCGTCATCACTGGAATTCATTCACTCGTCCCTTCGCTGTTCTCCCCATGCAGCCACCTCGACTGGAAAGAAGAAGAAACACAAACTTTAAAAAATACGCTGTTCGCCGCTTCTTTGTTTCTTGCTCCTTCCTTCCTACTTCGTCTTTACCCTTCGTCACGAGCTCCTTACAATTCTCTCCCTCTCTCTCTCGCTTGCTTGCTTTCCTGCTGGTCGTTCCTGTTGCGCCCTCCCTTCCGACCTGGCACGGCGTACCCCAGCAGATGCGTCGCAGAACAAGAGTGGGGGAGCGGGTGGTAATGTCAAAGCAGAGATCAGTTGGACGTCAATTCCCTCACAAGTGTGTGGAGATTCAAATGACAAAAAAAAATACATGTTTTTTTTTTCTTCTCTCCTTTTCAAAGTATGTAGCTTCCGTGTCTTCATATCATCTGCTTCGTCACGTTGCGAGGAACACTTAGGCCATGTTCCCCGCCTCCCCCTCACTGAGTCACTTATTCAGGGATTGGCGATCTCAAACACGCGCCGCTTTTGCGTTAACGCCTCCTTCACTAGCTGAAAAGCACCCAGAATACCACTCATGCATGTGGTTTCCTTTGCACCACCCGCAGCGTAATATTCCACGTCTGCTAACTTCATGAGCAGAAAGCACTTGCTCTCCTGCGGTAAATCCATCGCCATCACAATGTGGTGTACCTCGCGTACCAAGTCTGTTGAAGAAATACCCTTTTCGGAGACAGATTTTTGAAGCTTATCCCACGACACGGCAAAATCATCTGAAATCATATCCTCTACAATGCCGCGTACCTCCGCTGGGGTGGGGTTGCTAGTGACACGGTATACGGACTCCTCTGTAATTTCCCCTGTTGACATGGCAGAGGCCTGCATCGTATTCAGACACCGACGCAGGTCGCCATTGCTAAGAGCGAATGCCGCTACAAGACCCTCATCCGTAAAGCGTACGCCTTCCTCCTGTGCCACAAACTTTAGCCGGGGCAGCATGGCGCTCTTTTTAATCGGGGCAAACCGGAAACGGGTACACCGCGACTGCAGAGCCGGAATAATCTTGTTGATGTTATTGCAGAGAATACAAAAGCGCACGTTTCTTGTATACTTCTCAATGATGCGTCGCAACGCGGCCTGCGCGTCGCCGGACATCTGGTCCGCCTCATCGAGGATAACCAGCTTGAAGGCAGCGCAGTTGGGCGCAGAGGGTGAAGGAGCAAAGTAGAAGGAACTCGTGCTGGCGAACTCACGCACCTGATTTCGAACAACGTCTATACCGCGATCATCCGAGGCATTCATCTCGAGCACATTTGCTCGGAGGCGCTCTTTCCCAAACAGGTAGTAAGCGCAGGCTTTGATGGTCGTCGTCTTTCCAGTGCCGGGTGGGCCATAGAAGAGAAGGTGTGGTAAATTGCCACTGTCCATGAGCCGCTTTGTCGTGGAAAGAATGTCCTCGTGCGCCACCACTTCGTCGAGTGTGACAGGACGGTACTTTTCAACCCACGGCAATGCGCTGGATTTCGCACTATGCCCAGCGGAGGCCCTTCCATCACTTGTCATCCCCACCCAAATAGTCAAAGTGCGCCGCTTTTCGCGTTTGTATAGATATATTGTTTGCTTTTTATCGCAGTTATTTTTTTTTATTCTCTATTTCCACGTTCTGTGTAATGAGCTTCGCCCAGCCGCAGTGTCTCTCCCTGCGTTAGGCCCACGCCCTACCACAGTTGCACACACACCGACAGGGATCCTGGGAGAAGAGAAAGACCTTCCGCGTCAAGCGTACAAGGCAGTTATTTATGTAGCTTTCTATCTATTTACCAGCTGCGTGTACGCCTCAATTGGTGTAAATGGGCCCTGGCCTACTTCGCGCGCAGCCGTCCCTCGCTCTTAAAGGGTACAGCGAGGACAAGAAACAATAGAGGCGGGAGATGAAGTCAGAAAGCCCTGGCGTGTGAAGCAGTACATCCAATAGTGAAAACAAAAGATGAAACATTCGCTATTAGCGCTCCGGCGGAGGGATGCTTCAATACTAGGAAATCTTTTGTTCCATCATCATCTCACTTTTCATCCCGCACGAGAACTGAGAGAAGGGTCCGATGGGTGCAAGAAGCATTGTGAGGTGTGACCATGACCACCGCGGCCCTGCCTTTTGTGATTTTATCTCTACTTTTTTACTTCGTCGTTAGTTCTTTTTTTTGTTATCGTTTTGCTTTTCTTGTTGTTGGAGGGGTTGGTGCTATTTTAACGTGCACCCTCGCGTGGAGTGCAGAGGCGCGCCCACCACGCGCCCCACGGCCTCCGCCTCTGCCAGGCGTACGCCGCGTGGGCATCGCACTTGACAGTCCAAGACCAGCAGCGAGGGACCGCGGGCTGGGCGTCACTCGGGCAGTTGCTGCTGCTGCTGCTGCTGCTCCTCCTCCTCCTCCTCAGGCATCACCTTCTCAAGTTCCGGCGGCAGGCTCCCCAGTGAGGCAAACTCGTGGGCGAGGAAAACCAACTGATTGGTCTTCGCCGCATCCCGGGGATCAACAGACGCGTCCCCTATGAGGTCGCAGATGGAATTCACGAGTTTGAACTGCTTGTTGTACCTCTCCAGATCCTCAGCGCTAGTGTTGCCCTCGTTGGCGGCCAACCAACGGGGGTAGGCCCTTTGCATTAACCTCATTACCCTCAGCAACCCTGGGTCGAGCAAGCACTCCAGAAGGATCCCCGACAGGCCAGCAGCAATCGCATCGTCGGCATCAGCAGCGCCTGCCGCACCCGTCGGTGCCTCCGGGGACGGTGCTTTTTCCACCGCCACGGAAGCTGCCGCATTGTTGGTCTCGCTTCCAGTGAGTGCTTCAACGCCCTCCATGCACTTCTTCAACGCCTCCGCCAGGACCTCATTGCCCGCGTCATCTCCGCCTGCCGCATCATCTTCATCCTTTGTCGACATTGCTGCGAGCCTGTCAAACAACTCTTGCAGCTGCTTAACGCTAGCGCGTTCCTCCTCTGAGACGTCCGGTAGATCGTTCAACAGGGATGACACTTGCGTTATTTCCCCCTGTAATTTATTCATAAGAGAACTGGGGTCCGCGTTACCCTCAGCGGATTCGTCATTCATAAACGACTGCAGGAGGCGCATTACTTCAGCGCCGGAGCCGGACTCTGCAAGGTGCTTCTCCAATTCCGCCTCACGGGCCGCATCACGCGCCTTCACTTCCGCTTCGTGGCGGCGCTCCTGCTCGTCCATTGTGTTTATGCAGTCATCCAGAAGGGCATCCAGGTCGTCATCATCGCGGGGATGTGTCATTGACAGGTCTTCCACTAGACGCGTTCTTCGACCCTCAACCTCTTCAATCTACGGCAACTCCTCTCTCCCTCTCTTGCCGGTTCACAAGTTAAGGCAGAAAGGGTAAGAAGGGGATACATAGATGGACAACATACGAAACCCACGGCGTCCTTCCGGACGCACATGACAAAGCAGAAGCATTCAGAAAAAGGCGAAGATAAAAAAAACAACAACACAGACACACACACACTCACCTCATTTCACTCAAAACACGCACGTTTAATCGAAAGGGAGGCTACGCAACTTCACCCACAGAAGGAAAGAAGCTGTAGGCAAAACTAAAAAGAGTACAAACAAACAAA